TGATTTAGGTAGCTCAACTTTGGGTTTTGGTTGCTTCCTAAGTGTCCTATTAGTATGTAAATGAAAGGGAAAAAGAAAGTTTGGTCTTTTTCCCTCAAACTTTCTTACGTGAGACAAAAAATCATGGGATTGAACTTTTGGTACTCCCAAGCTGCTTAAAGTCTTCCACAACCATGGTTCCATGTAGGCCTAGTAAACTTCCATAACCATTCACAACACAATCCACTTTGCAAGCCTCGGTATGTGGCCTAGGCCCACTTTAGCATTTAACATGGTTGACGAGATTTATGTACAAGGTTAATGTCATAACATGGCTTGGCATGATAAATATGCATGAATTTGCATGGGCTGGGCATGATTATACAAACGTCTAAGTTATAAATTATTATTTAATTGTTATGCCGTGATCGTAAATTCACAAGGTTTGCTTTTTTTACGTTGATTTGCCATTTTCCTTGCCTTCTCTAATGTTCCGCCCTTTGTAAATTTCAACTAGGGCACGATAGGGAAGCAACTTGTGATAGGTTGAGGGGAAGGCTTCCATGCTGTGCAACCAATTTTATCCGAGAATGGCATTGTAAGGAGTTAAGCAGTCCATAACATGGAAAGTCACCAGGCGGTTGTACGATTTTGCCTGAACTGCCAGTTCCATCGTTCGTAGGGTTTGGACTAGGGCCCCATAGAAGGTTTGGAGAGTAGGCCTCTTTTTGTTGATGTTGTTGATGATGTTTATATTTTGGCTTCACCTTTAAAGATGACACTTACTTCTATTTTGTTATCTATCGAAACTCAGCTAAGCATAGCATTAATGATATGTAGATTGATGACAAGAGCGTCGTCGCGAGGAGAGTGAATAGCCTCTAAATCACAGTCGGAGAACATCAGGATGTTAAGGTTGATGGGTAGTGGTTTGTTGATTGGAGTTGGCGCTCAAGACTCCCTACAGGTTGCTTTCTTTATCTTTTGCATCATTCGTAAGTGTTCTTGTTTGATTATGGAAAATGGCTTTGTTCTTTAGCATTCAATCGGGTGAAGGTCTTAAGCTTTTCAATGCTTCATGCGTCACATTTTAAGAATAGTTCGTTGGGGTTATGTGTTTAGGCTCAGATCAATGGTTTTTATTGAGGTCTGAGTAGGCGCCGTCTAGACTGTTGGCTCATTGGAACACGGGATGACATCTTCGAGGGTGGTCACTCATATCTTAAGGTCAGCGAGTCTAGCATGTTCTCTACCTTTTGATTTTCTTCGAGATCCTTTATAGATACATGTATCTGTAACATGTTTTCCCATAATATTCTTGTCGTGTGGGGATATGGCATAGTCGCAGCTCGATAGGTTGATAAGGGCCTCTATAGGGGTAGAGTGATCATTGTCCCGTAATATTCTTCTAGCATCTCAATGGTGAAGACTTTGTTGCCAAATCTAGAATCTAGGTCCATGATGCTTCCATCTTCATCTTCCCATCCTTAGGCTTAGGGTCATGGTGTGTCATAGCTTTGGGGTTTGGGGTGCTTGCTCTAGTAGGTTTTTTCCATGCATGTTCTTAGAAGATTCCCAAATAGCTTTTGGCGGCTTAGGATTGTTCTTCCATGGGTGATATGCGTCATCATCATCAGAGCACGTTATCACTGCCACTACTTCCTTCTTTCTACACTTCGTTAAAGGGTTAGTAACAATGACTTGCTTCTTACAAGGCAACTTTAGTGTTCTTTCGTTGATTTTTTCATAGAGAATCCTTCTCAAAGTTTGACAAGCAACATAAGGATGTCCCACATATTGATGGTAGCGGCAGTACCTTTGGATCTTTCCTATCTTCTCTAGAATCATCCTTGGAGGGTCTTGGTTGCTTAATGATTCCATCTACGAACATGGTATTGAGGATGACATGAAACTCTTTATTGCTACATGACAGTGGCAGGTTAGTTTCTCAGTTTCCGTTCATTTCCTTTCTCTTTCCTGGATTGTAGTCAGGCTTGTCATCAAAGGTTAACGATTGATGAGTTTCCTTCTTTTCAGTCTCCCAAGACCTTCCAATAATTGGTTTACCGACATAATGGTCTTTCTTACTACTCAAGAGCTTTGAGAATTGGCTTATGCCAATATTCTCGAGATATACCCTGTAGGTTAGGACAATGTTACTGATGCAAATTTTCATAAGGGTTCCTCATCTTTTGCATTGTAGCAATCAAGGGCAAGGTCCTAGAAGTGGCAGACAAAACTTACAGGGTTTTCCCTATGTTTTTGGCATGTGTTGTTGAATTGGGTTGTATTAACCCTATGTTCATGCTGGAAATATTTTTTACAGAACTTGCTTGCCAAGTCTTCCCAAGCTTGAATAGAACATGGTGCAAGTATTGTGTACCAAGTGAGGGCCCAATCAGTAACCCTCATTAACAACTCCTTAATACAGAGGTTATGGTCGCTGACATAGGAACCTAGAGCATTGATGAAGCAGCTTATCTGCTCTATTAGGTTACCTTTCCTTCATCAAAGAGAAGGAAGTTAGGAGTTTCGTAGTTTTTAGGATATGGCTTGTGAAAGAGACTGATTGGGTATGGCAATTGAGGAACATACTTCTAGTCTTTAGAGCTCTTATGTAGATCCTTTTTCAAGCATGGTAATGATATCTTTATGGGTTACGAAGGATGGTCCCTTCTCAGAACCCTTTATGGTAGCATAGAATGATTCCTTCAGGGTTCTGTGCGCAGCCATTTTAGTTCGTCTTCTCGCTTGGTTTTGAGATTGAATTCTTCAATTCTTTTATAGATACAATGATCTCTTTTTAGGCTTCTCCCAAAGCATGAATGGCAACAATGGTGTCTGACATGACATACTCTTCCAAGTTCTCTTGGCTTTCATGACACTACTTTTGATGCTGAGATTCATTCAGCCTAGAAGCAGCCTCACATGCTTCCTCCGAGTTCTCTTGGCTTTCTTGGTGGTTGTTTTTTTTGGATCTTGAAGCCATTGAATTAGAGTTATGCCAGGTCTTTTTGTACTCTACAATGCCAAGTGGAAGATTACGCCATGTATTCTTTATATATATGTGGTTGTTAAAACCATTGAATTAGAGTTATGCTAGGTATTCTTTACATATATGTGGTTGTTGGATGTGTATTTGGAAGATTACGTATACGATGCAGATGCAGTATGTGATCACTTTTGCTGATACTTGAAGGCTCTTTATTTTCCACACTATATTTAATATATCGATTTTAATTATATTTGTTGATATGCTTTGAACTAGACTTGGCATTTATGTCGTGTTTTTTAGTTTCGTGTCCTTTTTGTGTCATACCCGATATCTTAATCGGTCATGTCAAGTAACACCCTTTAAAATGATTGGGTAATATGACTGACCCAAACTCGACCCGTTAATATTACCAAGTAATATGACCGTCTCCTTACCTGTTAAAGAAAATATATTTTAAAACAATAAATAATCAAATAAAAACATAATACTATATTAGTATACACATACCACATTGTCTCATAAATATTACTTCAAAACCTAGAAACACATTTGTCTTTCAAGTATTACGTACTCCAAAATAAGTTCCTATGGAAAAACATTAGTATTCACACTTGTAAATAAATTAATATAATATTTTTAATGTGTTTGATATTTTTAAATTACTTTGATATTTTTATTTTTTTTACTGTTTTTATATTGTTTTAATCTCACTTTTAAGAGGATAAAACATTTATAAGTATGATAATATAAGAGAGAGAAAAAAACTTTGTTAGGTCGTTGACTCTAAAGTTGAAAGTCTATCTTTTTGCCTATACTAACACTATACTAGTTGATTTGAATTTTGGACAACAAGTCTAGTAAAATTTAGCCCAAAATGATAATAAGAAACTCTTATAATAAAAATAAATAAATAAATAAAACTTGAATTTTTTTTAACTTATATAGAATGAATAATACAATAATACACATTTAACCCACATGTCGTTTTTGTGTCGTATTAACAAGTCGTGTAAGAAATTACCAGGTCTACTTTGAAGTTATACTCATTAGCATTCAGTTTTGTCTTAATTTTGTGATGTAGCTTCTCCTAATAAATCAGGGACTCTTGTATCGTTCAGACCATATTAATTAACGTCTAATCAGATTTGCTTGTTGCAATTCTTTTTATTAAGCAATTCGTGTCAAAGTAATTCCGCCATTAGCAACTTGTGTGCAGTGTGATTCTGTTGCTTTTGGTTGAGAGATCCTCATTTTCATTAATTTTATTCTTCGCTTTAATCATAATATATCAAATACATAAATATGGTTGTCAAAATGGAAGGTTAGATAAGGACTTGTCTTATCTTGGTAAATACTGTCCATAATGGGTCAATTTCCTACATTTGATTGAGAAATTTGGAAAAATAATCATAGCATGCAACCTATGTATAATTATAGCTACCCTTATAAGGTATATATAATAATTATAACCACAAGTTGATATGAAAGTAATAGTATACTTAAAATGAGGCTGTCTCATTAAAATGAAAATGAGGATGCCTCCCTCTACATCTCCAAGCCCATCTCCTTTGCAAAAAAAATAAAGATTAATTATGCTGCTCTTCTTTGGCATTGTCATTTTTCTCCTCTTCTTGGTTGTATATTGCTACATCACGAACCTCATGAAAAAGAGCTGTGAGCTGCTTAAGGGGATGATTGGATTGCTAATGGAGTGTGTTTTACTACATTTGCAAAGATAGAGATTAATCTCAAATTGACACTCAATTCCTCATTTTAATTTTGCTTTTTGGTTCTTCTAGGAACAATATAATATATTAGTACTTTTACATTAATTGTTTATTATAAGTATCATAAACTTAAAAGTGTGGTTATAATTCTATAATGGTGTTCAAATGTTGGTTTTTTTTTTTTTTTTTAAATTTTTGCATTTGGTTTGTGGTTCTCACATATAATCTAAAAAATTATATAACCCTAATCGACAGAAAAATAATAACAAAGCCCAAAAAATATTAAGAAAATTAAGAACTAAAGATAAAATCTTCCATCCATTTCTTTGTTATAGTGCAAGATGATAAACTTCAAGCAATCCAGAGTCCATAGTACATGATTGCATAAAGACAACAATTAAAATATGAAAATGATCGTATTCTCCGAAACCTAGTTAGGTTTTAACAATTGATGAAATGAAATCAACTGCCTAAAATGCTCCCAAGCCTTCTCCCACACAATGCCCTCATAATCACTGGTGGGCGTGGCAACAGCGGGATCAACTACCGACTCATTCTTGGCAGAAATGACTAGCCGGTAGTTGATGCCTGCCACTACCTGGCTGTCACCCTGGACTACGCTCTCAAACGCCAACTTGTTCTGTCCTTGGGCATGCTTGTTGTACTCCAACACCGCAAACTCTGCGATCTCTTTCACATGAAGGTCGCTGATGTTCTTTATGGGCTGCCAACCGCCCCGTGGGTGCACATCAGCAGCCACCAGAGGAAGGAGGACGAAGGCGAGGATGAGGAGGCAGTAAGGGCGCATTGTGACTGTTGATTTCTTTAATTTGTTGAAGTATATTAGACTGACTCCACGAATGACAGGCGATGACAGCTGAGCTGCATTGGGGGATGGCAAGATAATATAAGTGTGGCGGTTGGACGATGGACGTGCATAACGGGCAGGAAACTAAGGGGTTTGGCGTATATGGAAGGTTAGATATTGACTTGCGTTATCCTCGATATTACTGTCCATATTGGGTCATTCGGGGATTTGATTATTGAAAAAAAAGATTTACTATTATTATGGGAGAGACGGAGTTAGAAATTATTACAAGAATTTAAGGGAGATATGAGTTTCGAATCTGGAACACAGATGAGTATAACCCGACATCTTATCTACTAGGATATTTGGCTACATGCAGGGTCATTCAAGATTTATTTCGCAATTGCTTTCTTGATATATTTACGACATGATCTAATTACTAATTATTTTGATATTTGATTACTAATTTTAATATAAAATTTGTTGCAGTCATACTTAGAATAGGAATGTGATTGTGTAAATAATAGTGTATCTAGAGATATCTTTGAATATTCCCTTTAGTAGTTAATATCCTATTAGAGTTGTATTCCTAAAAGGGTAAGGATTTAACCTATCCTACAACTATAAATAAAGGCACAATAGGGTGATACAACACACACCTCACAATTCAATCTCTCTCTTCTCTCTTATTGCCGCCGGCCTCCCCCTCTCTATTCCCGTAGAACAATTCAGTCAAATAGGCCTACAACACGTTATCAAAACGCTCTTTCCAGAAGCTAAGGAATTGAAGGATCTTAGGAGGAGGCTATCTTCTACAAAATTCAAAGGCATTTATTTGTTTTCTGCCAATCAGGTATGCTTAAATAAAGTAAGATATTTGAAACGTCCACGAAGCATGAAAACATTTCTCATAATGCATGAACCCCCTATATTTATATTTGCCTTCTGATATATATATTGTATATGATTCATATATTTGTCAATATATACGTTTCATGCATTACGCAATGATTTTGCTATGTGAAATTTGTGAGTCAAAGCATATAGATAAATTAGAAGCAATTAAGGGTTTTTCAAACCCTAAAGATGTCGAAAAAAAAAAAATTAAATATGGGAATTACGCGGCACGACCACCACAACTAGCCTGTAATATGACCCGTTTGTCATTATTTTGCTTCCACAATCGACCCCATTTGGTCCCAATCTATTGAATTAATTAAAAGTGACATGTAGTCCATTAATCTGATAATTAATCCAAAATTATTGACCTGAAGATCACTTTCGGACATTAACGATTCGATAATTTATTTTTCTACTTTGAACCGTTGACATCCTGTCATAGTCCCGAAGCTCTCACACTTGATTTCCCAAAGCAACTCAAATCTATTACACTTCAATCAACATATTGTAATCTATGTTCTTGCAAGAACCTCTTCTTTATGAACTAATCGTTCATAAAACTAAATTGAACCCGTATTTTCATATTTAGTGCCTTTGAAACCCGAAGTTTTCATTCAAAACTTACCACATGAAACCTGTAGCTTTCATGCTTAAATTAAATCAATACATGTCTATAAAACCCGAATGCTCTACAATGTATGTCTATGGATTACCATATGACTAACCATGTTTTGTTGTACCCTCCATTTTAGGGACATGTCAAACTTGAACAAGCTCGATTTTGCCACTCTGGAAGTCTCTAGAAGAAACTACTTGAAGTGGGTTCAAGACGTGAAGCTCCATCTTACTGTAAAAAGTATTAGAGCTACCATTGAGGCACATATCGACGACAAACCCATCAATGAAGATTAGAAAGCTACTGCAATGATCTTCATTCAAAGACACATCCATGATGCACTGTAGACCAAGTACCTTGCTGAGGAGGACCCACAAACCCTCTGGCTTGCTCTGGCCGATTGTTTCAATCACCTGAAAAACATTTACTTGCCTGAAGCAAGACACGATTGGCATCATCTATGCTTCCAAGACTTTAAGTTTGTGAATGAATACAACTTTGAAATTTATGGACTTAACAGAAGCAGATTTATTGGAGAAAACCTATTCGACCTTCCATGCTACCAATATTGTCCTGCAACAATACTATAGGGCATAGAAGTTCACCAAATTTTTGGATTTGATCTCTTTTTTACTTATCGCTAAAAACCAGAACCAGCTTTTGATGAAAAATCATCAAGCTCGACCCACTAGCTCGAATGTCGCACCTGAAGCGCATGCGACCAATTTTAGCAGCCACTAACAACGAAAAAAAATCATTGTGGACATAGTAATGGGCGGCAAACCCAACCACATAGAGCCAAGGCCCACCTAAGGGAGGAAATTTGACCCAGAAACGTCAACCCCTTGCCATTAAGGCCCCAAACTTCAAGAACAAGGGAACAACTACCACTCAATCGGCTTCCATTAAAATGGACATGTGCTACCGCTGTGGATCAAAGGATCATTTGTTACCTGTATACAGAGCTACCCCCAAGGCTATTACCAAGTATCATTCCCGTCATAAGTCAGACTTTACCCATGTGGAACATCCCGAAGATTCTATTACATCCATGGAGATATCAGATTTTCAAGAGGCATCAGCTTCTATGGAGAATAAGTTTTATTCTTCTAAACATGTTTTTAGGGTGTTTTTACCTCTAGTGGCAAGACCCTATCCCTCCACCAATTTTTAGGTTTATGGTTTAATTTTTGGACAATTTTTCTAAGTATTTGGAATAGTTTGTTTGGTTTTGGTTTGTTTTGAATTATGGATAATTATTTTATGGATATTATTTCTTGAACTGATTAATTGAATGAATGGAATTATATTTATGCATTTGACCAATTCAATCAATTTATTTCTAGGTATGTTTAGTGGGGAAGTTAGTTGTTTGGCTGATAGTGCTACTACGCACACCATATTGTGTGAGCGACACTATTTTACTAACTTCGTACCTAAGAAAGTACTTTTAATAACTCTCTCAGGCTCATCCAACTTGATTGAAGGATACGGAAAGGCGCATATAATGTTGTCTAATGGCACTGTCTTAACCATTAAAGAGGCACTTTATTCTCCATGTTCTGGAAGAGCGTTGCTGAGTTTTAGAGATATTCGAGATAATCAATATCATATTGAAACCACTGAAGATAATAGATCTGAATTTTTTTTTATCACTTCTTACGAGTATGGTCAGAAGCGTATTCATGAAAAGTTGGAATGTTTCCCTAGTGGGTTGTATATCACAATCATTGGCGGCATAGAAGCCCACCATGTGGTCGACCTTGTGCCTCAGTTCCAGAACACTTTGCTGCTTTGGCATGATCGTATGGGACATCCCGAACGTGACATGATGCGCTGTATCCTTAAATCATCACATGGGCATCATTTACCTCCCTACATTGGATTCCTGCCATGCAAAGCTTGTTCTTTAGGGAAGTTGAATACTCAACCCTCAATTACAAAGATTATTCACAACCCTCCTAAGTTTCTTCAGAGGATTCAAGGGGATATTTGTGGATCTATCAACTAACATGCGGACCATTTAGATACTTTATGGTGTTGGTTGATGCATCGACACGTTGGTCATATATCTTCTTATTGTCCACAAGCAATGCTGCATTTGTGAAACTCCTAGCACAAATTATTAAGCTAAGGGCTCACCACCCTGATTATCCGATCAAGTTAATTCGACTGGATAACGCTGGAGAGTTTACGTCATAGACTTTTGATGATTATTGCATGTCAGTTGGGATTGAAGTCGAACATCATGTACCCCATGTTCACACCCAAAATGGCCTGGCAAAAGCTTTCATAAAGCGCTTTTAATTGATAGCTTGGACTTTGGTTATGCAAACCAAATTGCCGGTACATGCCTGGGGCTGTGCAATATTTCATGCAGCTATGTTGGTCTATCTGAGGCCCACCGCTACCTAACCTCATTCACCGTTATAGTTGGTTACTGGATACAAGCCTGACGTATCTCATTTACGTGTGTTTGGGTGCGTAGTTTATGTGTCAATAGTGTCATCACCTCAAAGAAAAATGGTAATCTATGTCGGTTATGATTTGCCATCAATTTATTTTCTATTTAGAGCCTTTGACAGAAGATCTCTTTACCGTATGTTTTGTAGATTGTCACTTTGATGAGACAGTCTTCCTGTCATTAGGGGGAGATAAGCATGCTAACGTTCCTGGAGAACGTCACGAATTGTCGTGGTATGCTCCCACTATGTCTCATTTAAATCCTTGCACTGCCCAGTCTGAAACTGAGGTGTGACGAATTATAGATCTTCAGAGCATTGCTCAAAGCATGCTGGATGCTTTTACTGATCTAGCTAAGGTGACAAGATCACATATACCCACTGCAAACGCACCTGCAAGGATAGACATACCTCGAGTACCCCATAATACCGCCTGAGAAGGCTGAACCGTCCCTGAAGGTGGGGAGGCCGCACCTTCTATGTTGCCCGGTACATAGGCGGCTAGTCAATTATCTGCTATTACCTTAAAGTGTGGTAGACCGCTTGGTTCAAATGATTCATAACCCCGGAAGAGGAAAACAGCATAAACTAGTGACCTTAGTCTAAATCCATTATTGTTCACTCATCTATTCCAACATATGAGTTATTCTAGATTACAGTGATGTCTTAGATGAGACAGCATGACCTTCCGAGAATCGTGAGATTTCGGTCTACTACGTAGTATTGGATGAGGTTTGGAATTGGAATGAGATGATCGTTGACGATGCATTTACGTACATAGTAGCTACTGACATCATGCTTAGCAATGATATTGAACCACATTTCGTTGATGAATGCCGACGTAGAACGGATTGGTCAAACTGAAAACAAGCAATCCAAGTTGAACTCGATTCCCCTTCAAAACATAAGGTGTTTGGACCTATAACTCCTACCCCACTACATTTGAAGCCTATGGGGTGCAAGTGGGATTTCGTGAGGAAACGTAATGAGAAGAATGAAATAATGTGATACAAAGCAAGCTTCGTAGCGCAAGGCTTCTCTCAGCGCCCTGGGATTGATTACGAGAAGACATATTCCATCGTAATGGATGTCATAACATTCCACTACCTTATCAGTT